GGGTAGGTTTTGGTACATCAATTTTGGACAATGTGTGAATTTTTTGACCCCAGGTCATGTCAGGTCAGGTCACCAGGTCAAGTTAACTGACCAAGCCTAAAAAAGTTTGCAATCATGCCCAGCATGCAGTGTTTGTCAGAAAGGTTTCAAGCTTGGTGGATTGCATGCTGTTATGGGCGCCTACAATTTTTATATCTCAGATTTTTTATATCCGTGACCTAAGGTCAGGTCAGTGGCGTGACCTTTCCATTACAAGTCAATGGAGAAAAATGAAAATGCCTCTAGATCCGTGTGTACGCATAGGAACAGTCAAAATATTTTAGAATCACAATGATTTGGACCATCCGTGATGACCAAGGTGTCATTTTTGCTGATAGCCTCTAGAGAGGTCATCCGAGGTCATTTGAGGCTACAAACAGATTTTTGCCAATAACTCGCGATTGGAAAGAGATAGAACGCTGGGGATGGTCTCATTGTGTTTGTCTTGTTGAGACGCATCGACTGATATGCAACATGACCTTTTTCGGTCAGGTCATGACCTTGACCTGAGGTCAAATTTTCAAGTTAACCTTTCAAGGTCAAATTATAGTTCATTCGACGCGTCTCGGCGAGAGGAACACGATTCTGGCAATAGAAATGCCGTGGCTGTTTGTAGTTAAAAGTTATTGTCGAAAAACACTCTTCGTAAAAACAGCTATTTTGGAGTTTTTGCCCTCTGGAGGCTAAACCGTTGACCTGAGGTCAATTTTGATAATGACCTTATCAAAAGAAGAGTTCAAAAGCTATCGATTGGTTCTCCATGCGTTTTTCTAGCTATTATAGTTTTTGAGATAACGGCATGTTTTCTAAAAAATATAATGACAATTGGCAAATTTTGACCTTTGATGACCTCTGGTGACCCCAATATTGCTCTAAGATGAAAATGACTGAAATACTTTCAAACGTACGCATTGAGAGGAGCTATCGACTGCTTTTTACCGCGTCTTTCTAGCCCTCTTAGTTTTTGAGTTAGAGGTGGGTGGTAACATATGCCCCCCACTAGGGCGAAGTTGGCTGAGACCGCCACTGCGGGCGCGGGTTAAAAGAAAGCACAAATCTCTCATCTTTACACATTCAGGCAAATTTCCTTAAAAATTGTCATGAACTCTAGATGACCTCAGGCCAACCAAATTTGAAATACAGGGGTGCATATGATGGCACTCGGTGACCTGAGCATATCCTGCAAGTTTGAATAAAATCGATGAAAAACTCTAGTATCCATGAACTAGTATCCATACTAGTAGAACTAGTATCCATGAACTCTAGTATCCATGAATTTTAGTGCCATTTTGACTATGTACCGGTTTTTGTGACCTTGTGACCTGACCTCAAGTCACTGGAATCTAAAACTCCCAGGTCGTGTGTGAAATAGATGCCCCAAGTTGTGTCTGAAATTCAGTAGCGCTACTTGCCATAGCACCCACGCTATCAACAAATAACTCTGTCATTCAGTTGCCGCTATGTCCAATTTTCCCCTGACCTTGTACCGTTTTTTTGTGAATTGGTGACCTGACCTAAAAAGACTGGGACTTGAAATTTTCAGGATATGTGCGGAAAGGTTGCCCCAGAGGGTATGCCAAATTTGGCGGCGCAACGCGTTGCTGTTTTTACGTTATTTGCGAAAAACTTTAGAGGGGTTGCATCAACCCCCTCGTCGGGCGAGGGTTAAGATGTGCTTAACTTCTTAAGCACACTTACGCAAGCAAAAAGTATATCGTTCGTCGCGCCTTGACGTGCTGAGTTCACTGGTGCTTTCGTTTTTGCTCTACCTTAATTAGATCAAAAGTTTGAAGCGAAAAACTTTTGACCTGTTTTAGCGAAATTTTTACTCTTATACCCCAAACCCCCTGAATATTGACCTAGAGCAACCAAATTTGCACAGGGGCGAGAATTCCAGGGGGCCCACCCACCTACCAAATTTGTTGTTTCTAGGTGCCATATGAGCCAATCGTGAAGGGAGGGGGTCGCATCAACCCCCCCATGCCAGGCCGTGTTATGAAAAATGCACTGCCAGGGCGAGGGTTAATGCATGGGACCAACATCATATCACATGTCTGAACGCTTGAAACTACGAAGACTGCATACGCGCGGCTAATGCGAGCCGACATACGCCGAATCGCGATCCCGGCCAAACATGGTCTCGAAAAGTAGGTTACAGGTCAAAGGTCATTTGGGTCAGGGTCGTGAAGTATTCAGGGCAGGTGAAAAATTGATTACGCGAGGGTACTGAAAGTTTCGTCGCGATCGGCCGCTTTTTACGCGAGTTATTTGCGAAAAACCTTGGGGGAGGGGTGCATAAACTGTTTGCTGGCGGGGGTTAATATCCGCATGGCTTGTAATAGGTAACGTTCCCGTTGTTTTCCATTTCAAAAATAGTGCAGGTGATTTCGACGGTTCGGCATAGTGCCTTCATATATTGAATCGCGGCACGATATTCGTCATTGTGCACCCCACTCCGTCATAGTGTAGTTAAAAGTGGCCCAGGTTCAGACATATTGGACTTAGTGCAAATAATAATTCGTCAGGTTAATTTAATTTCGACATACGGCATGTGCTTACGGCAATGTTCAAATAAATCCAGCACGGTATAAATAAGCGATTATGTAAGCAAATCTCATCTTCCTACGCAACTTAAGCCCTCAGCAAAGCTCTGGACCTATTGAAGAATGTGGGATGTCACGTGAACGTGAAATGCGCTACACTTTTTTACGGCCAAATATAGAAATAGTGCACACAGTTCAGTAATAGCGCAACCGATTTCGACAGTTCGGCATAGTGCACCTCTAGTTCGGCCAAGTGCATGATATTCGGTAATAGTGCACACGTTTCAAAAGAAGAGCAATCAATTTAGAAGATGGTGCGTTCAAATTCAGTGAGCCGTAGGTTCAATTTCGTCATCGTGCACGGTTTCGTCATGTGGCCTGATAGTCGGCGTCCAGCAAAGCGATTTAGGCGATGTTCAAGTGAATTCGCTGCTAGATTGGGAAAATATTTTTGAAAGCCCGTATCTGTCTGTCAAGAGTAGCGTGAATCTTGTTCAAAAACCTGCTCAAATGCAGTTTCAGCTCTCAGGAATTAACTCATCATTAGTCTCGCTCTAAGAACTCGGTGACACGGTCAAGTGGCGGTCACGTGGCATTCAGGGCTTCTGAATCGGGTGCATAACTTCGTTGCTGGTTCAAAAAGATCAGAAATGCTATGGATTCTTGTTATCGCCTTTCAGCATCATGGCGAATTTGATTGAACAAAGCCGAAAAAATATTGCTCATGCCGAATATAAAAGCACCCGACGAATTATGTGCACTATGTCTTATATGATTGAAGCTAAGACACCCAGATGAAACATTAAATACCCTTTACCTTTTGCATTCAGAGCAGTGGCTACTTGACTTTTTTGCGTTGCTGACTGACTACGAGTGTCATTGGAGGCTCAGGTAGCGTGAAATGTCAAATAAAAATAGTTATTATTTATTTATGCAATGCCGTCTTACTGAACAGTGCCTAAATTACATGCGGGACCCCGAAATTGAAACGATCTGACGAATAATGTGCGATATGTCTAATATGCCTGAACCTGTGTCACTTTAAACCTGCACTATGACGAAATGGCTGCAATATGGCGAATATCGTGCCGCGATTCAATATATGAATGCACTATGCCGTACTGTCGAAATCGCCTGCACTATTTTTGAAATGTGTGCACTGCCGCCTAAATTGGGCCTTTTCATTACATTCATTAAAATCTCATTAACTTTATTAGCGGTAAAATTTCAATAATTTAGTAAAATTTCATTAGCAGCTTGTTTGAACGGCACCACGCTACACTTGATGAACAGCAAGAGCGTTGTCAAAAATATTTTCTAGATGGGGCACCGAATTCGCGTGAGGGTTAACTAAATTGCTTTGCGGTACGCCGAATACCAATGCATATGACGAAGCAATGCACTCTGGCGAAACTGAAATCGCAACTACTGAAAATGAATGCATTCTCTTTTAAATTGCTTGCACTGTTTCGGAGCCGTGTGCACTTTTACTGAATTTCATGCACTCGGCCCAAGAAGCGGTGCACTATGCCGAACTGTCGAAATGGTTGCACTATTTCTGAACTGTGTGCACTATTTCTATATTTGGCCGTAAAAAGGTGTATATATGATGGTCCATAGCACCTACTATCAACATACCAAATTTGAGATTGATACCTCTTTTTTGGCCAAGTTATAGCGAAAACACTGTTCAAAATTGATGACGGTAAATTTTCAAACTCAAATTTTAGCAATTCTAGACCACGTAGCGCAAAACAATGACCACCATTAGAATCCCCGTGACGAGCTGCATTGAATCGACACCCATTTCATGCAAAATATCAACTTCAAAATTTGACCTAATTTGACCTAACCTTGAACTGACCTTCACCAGAACATGACCTAAACTGGCCCCAAAGGTTGCCTGACCCACATAATCGCATTGGTCATGTAAAATGGACCATAAACATGTATTACACGACACTTTCATAGTGTGACCCTCAGTGACCTCAACTCTGTGACCTGGCCTGGTATCAGTGGCATCAGTTAGTAAAAGATGTGTTTGACGGACAATTCTTCATTGATGATTTTTAATGGTATTCCTTTTTACTCGATTTTAGAACACATTTCTTGAAATGCCTGTAAACGGTAAAATTGGACTTTCGACCTGACCTGTGGGCTGTGACGTCATCGGTTAGGCCGAGGTCAATGAAATTAGGTCACAAGGTAGTTCCCTGTTGGGGCTATCCAACGCCATTTGAATTTTGAAAGTCGGTCGGTAATTTTCTGAGATCTTAGGGGGGCCTAAACGCCCCCCCCCCCTACGGGTGGTAGGGTACGGCGATAGCTGGTTAACGGTGTTGGTGGCACCGCTAATATCCGTATGACTAAAAACTCAAGGCTTGCAAACCGTAACGTTTCCGTATTTTCCCATTTCAGACGACTGCAAGACAGTTCCTGTACGTGGACGACACTGGACCGGAGAGAAAGCTGCGGCTGAAGGAGAAAGTCCTACAGGCCTTCCTAGAGAGTGATGACGTTTCTGGCAAGCCTGTGGCGGTGATTTCGGTGGCCGGAGCATTCCGGACGGGCAAGTCGTACCTATTGAACGAGATGTCCCGTTATCTGACCGCCGAGAACAAGGGGCAATGGCGTGACGTGAAAAAGGGGAGCTTCACATGGAAAAATGGAGCTGACTCTCATACCAACGGCATGTTCATATCGCCTCCGATCAAGATCACTTTGGGTTCCGGAGAAGAGGGTGCTCTCTTTCTTCTTGACACCCAGGGGCTGTTTGATGATTCGAACATGTCTGACGCGACTAACATCTTCGCACTGAGCACACTTCTCAGCTCAATGCAGGTATTCAACCTTCGGGGCGATTTGAAAAGCGATGACCTGGACCACCTTCAGCTTTTCGCCGAAATCGGCAGCATGGCCAGAGATCGCTCTGACAGAACAGCGTTCCAGAACCTTCTCTTCCTGATTCGCGATTGGGATCACCCTGATACAAATCCGTTCGGTAAACAGGGAGGCGATGGTCTGGTTCAAACACGTCTGAGCAGTGACAAGGCGGACCTCAATCAGAGACGCCAGCACATTGAACAATGTTTTGCAAACATCGAAGGGTTCCTCATGCCCCATCCGGGAAAAGTAGTGGCCCGCAGCTCGGCCTTTTCTGATGGCGATATTGACGAGGAGTTTGCGACTCATCTGGACGAGCTGCTGACCCTGCTGCTCTCTCCAGACAAGATCCCGTTGAAGATGAACGGCAACCGTCCAGTGACGTGCGGAGAGCTGGCGACACTCATCAGGAGGTACGCGGAGCTCTTCCAAAGCGGCAAGCTCCCGGAACCAAAGAGCATTCTCCAGAGCCTCGCCGAATGGTGCAACACTGCAGCCGTTGAAACTGAGCTCAGCGGCTACGTGAGGAAGATGAACGACCTACTGGCGAAAGATGCTCCGCTACTGACCGAAGAAATCTTCGAGCAAAAGCACAGCGAGGAAAAGTTGGCAGCAATCGAAGCTCTGAAAAACAGAGACACCGTTCCAGACTACACAAAGTCTGAAGACCATTATTGCTCACAACTCGCTGAAAAAATAGAGCAATGGCTGGAATCGGCGCAAAAAAAGATCACAGAAAGATGCGCAAACGACAGAGAAAAGGCAAGGATGGTGAATGAAAACCTGGTCAGAGAGTGCATTGAGACATTCGACGCATCGATGCGTGGCTTGGAAGGTGACGAACTACTCGGGGAAAATAAAATAAAGCACAGGTACTTCGAAGCAGAGAGGGTTGCGATAGATCACTTCACACAGAGAATGATTTCTTTGGGATCGTACAAACCAACAGATTTCAAATACAAGCTGGAAGCGAGTTTGAAAGAGAGGCTCGGCCGAATGTTGGCAAGAGACGAGGACTTGTCGAACATGGCGAAAGTGGAAGAGCACTTCCTCAAGTACAGAGCTCAAATGGAAACACTTCTAGCTGACGGAGCCCCGAGCCTGGACAGAGGTATTTTGGAAGGTCAGCACGACAAGGAACTACGCTTGGCTCTGTCAGCCTTGCAACCACGGATTAGCGTGAAACATTCGACTAACTCCGAAGGCCACTACTCTGAACGCCTTGAGAGCAAGGTACTGGGATGGTTCCAAGCGTCACAAGAACGGTTCCGCGAGAAGTTCAACCAGGACAAAATGAAGGCAGATGAGGTGAACTGTGCACTTGCGACAGAGTGCTTGGCGTCATTTAAACACACACTTACTGCTATAAAAAGAGACCAGGCTGCCAACAAAACGGAGATGCAAGAAGCAATGGAGGTTGCCGAGCAGAACGTCATGCAGCGATTCGAATGTGAAGTGGTTACCTTTGGTTCGTACAACGCGGAGGAAAGAAGGCAGCAGCTGCTCAACAACATCAAGGATGCCAGTCTGAAGATTCTGGAAACAGATGACGAAAAGTCGAACTCGGCAGTAGTCAGGGACCTATTAAAACAGTACAGCATGACATTGGTCCAACTTCTAGCTGACGAGTCACTCATTAATAGTGAGCTCATCACGCAAACTCACTCACAGGCGAAACAAAATGCGCTGTATGCACTGAAAGGCAGGCTCAGCTTGCAGCATTCCACGAAGACAAAATGTGAGTACTGGCATGAGCTTCACGAAGAAATAGACGAATGGTTCATCAAATCCAAAAATATATTTGAAGACAAATGCGAAACGCAGAACGTAAATGTGGCTACCAACGCTCTCGATGAGTTTTTTGAGAGTTTTCAAAAGAAACTACCAGAGGTAGAGGAGAACGGCTATTTCAGCAGTCGCGATGAAGAAAAAAATATTGTCCTGTTGGACTTCTCCAACCAAGCAGCGTCTTTCGGCAATTACAGTGCTGCGGGCATAAGAAATCGACTCGACGAGATACTGGATTTACTAGCGGATCAGATGATCAACAGGGAGAAGGCGCGTCGGAAAGCTAATTGGCAAATGAATTTGGCCAAGGCTGGCTACTTGGCCGGCGCAGCAGCCACTGTAGTGTCCCTCGGAGCACTCGCCGTCGTGGCTGCACCCGTCGCCGTCGGAGCAGCATTAGTCGGTGCAGGAGCCGGTGCAACTGGTATGGTGGGGGGAGCCATTGGTATATTTGCAAATCACACCCCGGAGGACGTCAGGAAGGAGGCATTTCTGGACTTGATGCGGAAGAAAGAGGGCGACAAAGAGTCTGACACAGAAGCGATCAAACGGATCCTCGCGTTAACCGACAAAGGTTCAGCCAAAGAAGACAAAGACAAAGAAGCAGCCAAATGAACCATGGTTGCAAGCCTCGGAGTCGACGGGGTTCTGAAGACTTCAGGAAACAAGCCATGTGTTGTCTTCATTTGCTTGTAGTTGACTGACTTGATTTCCCTTCGTCATATGCGACGCTGATACCACGTGCTTAGGGCGCTCCTGTTGTGCAGCTATGTCCTGGCATCTGTCGATGACCATGCAGAAAGAGTTGCTGTTGTTTGAATAATCATACGCACTCCGTTCCCGGTTCATCGTCGGGAGACACATGTAACGTGTGCAGTGTAGTGCGTCACATGGTGCTGTGGATGGCTTCTGGTGAGCCCTCAGCTGCTGTTCATAATAACAGATTAGAAATGCTTTACGCTTGGGTCTTAGCGATAGGTGTGTAAAACGTGACGCTATCTGATTTTCTGTCAATGATGGGAATCCAATGCGTATCATTCGATTTTGTTGAATATGCGCAGCAGAAAATGCATGGATGGTGCAGGTGTATGATGGTGCAAAAAATAAAGGTAAATGGCTTATCATTGTGATTGTTGAAAAAATAAGCACCTAACGCATTAATTTCCAGCACAATGCATACCGCTGCTCGACAAATATGGTTTAGTCATCCGTTAGTCAATTAACCCTCGCCCGAAATGGTGTTTTTCCAGCCGCGAACGTATATTTTTTTTCCGCTGACACTTTTATTTCAGAAACAAGTGAAAACATACAGGTCAAAAACACCCCTACTACGATTTGTGTGGCACGAATGATAGGCTTTCCCTTTCCATAAGCTGTTAAAATATTGTGTTGAGTTTTCTGTCATGTGCGTGTCTTGAAGGAATAAAATATCGAATTTTTTAGATCTCAGATAACTCATTACGTCTCTCTTTTTCTTGATATTACTCAGCCCTCTGCAGTTTAACCCGCGCCCTGCTGGGGGGTTGTTTGAACACCCCCCTTGTGGTTTTTCGCGAATATCTCAAAAACGGCGGCGCGGAGCGCCGCCGTTTTTGGTACACCTTATCATACATCAATTCTACACATGTTGTGAAAATTTCAGACCAAGGTCATTCAAGGTCAGGTCACCAGGTCACTTGAAGTGACCTCACCTCATAAAAAGTTTCAATGTCTGTCATAGCTACACCGAGTGACCGATCGCTTTGAAACTTTCAGCGATTGCTAAGAGCAATAGCATGTACAAAAGGTATATCTCAGAATTTTGATATCGATGACCTAAGGTCAGGTCAATTTTGCGACCTCCCCATTATAAGTCAATGGGAGAAAATTGAAATGCGCCTCTTTTGGACGAAAGACATTATAAACACTCCCAAACACTGCATTACAAGTGGTTTGGACACACTGAACATGAAAATGGTGTCCGTGACCCCTGTTTATGCCCTGAGGTCATCTTAGGTCACGAATGGTATCTAACAGTTTTTCGCAAATAACTTTTGATAGAGGCATGCTAGAGCGATGAAAACGCCTTAGATGTGTTCAGCTCGACGATACGGATCGACTGATATGCAACATGACCCTTTCCGGTCAGGTCATGACCTTGACCTGAGGTCAAATTTTCAAGTTGACCTTTCAAGGTCAAGTTATAGTTCATTCGATGCGTCTTGACGAGAGGAACACGATGCCGGTAAAAGTAAGCTCGTACAAGGCTTGGGTCAAAAGTTATTGCAGAAAAACTGTTTCCGAAAAAATCGGCTATTTTTGCAGTTTTTGCCCCCTGCAGGCAAAACCGTTGACGTTAGGTCAAATCTGAGAGCATTACTCAGAAAGGGCGTTAATAGGGCTATCGAATGCACTTTTCCGCGGCGCTGTAGCTCTATTGGTTCCCGAGTTATGCGTTGGCTTCTTGGAAATTGTCGACATTCGACCTGGAAATCGGCGAAATTTTGCCTTCAATGACCTCTGGTGACCTGACCTTTGACCTGACCAAAAAATTGACCGAAGTGATTTCCTCATTATTTTTGACGCTCTTTCGAACGCCGCCTTCCGCGTATCGCTACGTGGCCCAGGAGCCGAGTTAGAAGGGGGGGTGTTCAAACACCCCCCCCCCCCCAGCAGGGCGTGGAAATCCAGGACCCCCAGCAGGGCGCGGGTTAATGTAGCAAATTTCAGTTCAGACATGTTTAGTTAAAGTTTGAAAGAGGCGCTCTGAAATTAAATTTAGAAGTAGAAACCACCGAGCCAGAACTGACCGCGCGGAAGCCGCGCGCCGCGCCAGAGTCGAACTCCGGCCTTGTATTTGTGCATATTGATGTGTGCATTTGTGAGTAGTTGTGGTGTGTTTAGTAGTTGTGGCCGCGAACGTATAAGAGAGGGGTCGTTGGACCCCCTTGCCGTTTCGCCCCTGATCGAGCTACATACAGCTTCGCGGAAAAAACGAGCGTGTTGCCCGTGACGAAAGGAAGCCGATGATACCCAATTTTAAGGTCCTAGGTCATCGGTTGAACTTCCAAGTCAGGTCCATTACCCAAAAGTCGGGAAATCGGGACCTGTTAGAACGTCGTAAAGGGTGGCTGCTAAGAGGTTTTTGGGGGTGCTGATCACGAATATCATGTTAGTTATGATCATAGATGATGCCCTCATGCATTCAGGGCAGGTCGGGGCAGGTCAGATCAGGTCAACCAGTAAGGGTTTTGACGGGTATTCGCAGTAGGTGGCAATCGCCTCTGACAGCTTCGTAAGATGTTACGAAGGCACCAAAACTTCTTCGTAAATGTTCAAATGGTAACCTCGGGGCGGCTCGCGCCCCGTAGGTCTATCTGCGGACCCTACCACTCGTAGTGGAGGGGGGGGGGGGGGAGGGCGTTTCGCCCCCCCTAAGATCTCAGAAAGTTACCGGCCGATTTTCAAAGTTCAAACGGCATTGGATTGTTCCAACAGGGAACTACCTTGTGACCTAATTTCATTGACCTCGGCCTAACCGATGATGTCACAGGTTAGGTCAAAGGTCGAATTTTCACCGTTTACATGCATTTCAAGAAATGTGTTGTAAAATCGAGTAAAAAGGGAAAATCATCGATGATGAATTGCCCGTCAAACACATCTTTTGCTATTTGAGGCCACTGATACCAGGTCAGGTCATAGAGGTCAGGACACTGAGGGTCACAATATTAAAGTGTCGTGTGACACATGTTGTATGATCCATTTACATAACAAATGCGATTATGTGTGTAAGGCGACCTTTGGGGCTTGTTTAACCCTCGCCGGCCGAGGGGGGGGGGCGGGTGCCGCCCCCCCATAGAGTTTTTTCGCGATAGCTCCGAACACACTGGCGATAGAGAGCTAAAACTTGGCGTACCTGACCTTTGATCCAAGCTGCATCTTTTAACCCTATTCCTGGCGGGGGGGGGCCTCAGGAGCCCCCCCCCCCCCTGAGGTTTTTTTGGTTATATCTCCCAAACGCTTTGAGCTAGGAAGCTCAAATTTTCTGACTTTTTCTAAAAGGCTTTTACGCAACATTTCTGAAAATTTTGAGTTGATCTGACCTCAGGTCAGGTTACCAGAGGCGGTTTGGTGACCCTACCTCAGAAAAGTTTGCAATCACGCCAGAGCTAGAGTTTTTGACCGATCAATTTCTTCTCTTCAGGCTTTAGTTAGGGTACCAGTATGTGCAATTTGTATATCTCAGAATGTTCATATCTATGATCTGAGGTCAGGCCAGACTCGTGACCTTTACATTGCAAGCCTATGGGAAAATATTGAAACGCCTCCTGCTTCGTGTAAACGAGTCAAAACCACCCAGTTCTTTCAGAATTATGGAAGATTATCTCATCGATGATGATCCTGGTGCCGCTAATTGACAGGGCCACCGGCAAAGGTCATCTGAGGTCATGTGACGTCATAAATCGTTTTTCTGTCAATAAATTACGACATGATGGTGCTTAAGACTTGTAAGTGGCACCAAACTGCTCGCCTGGTCAAGGCGCGTCGTTTGGTATGCAGCATGACCATACCCCACAACCTCATTGATGAATGACCTGACCTTGACCTCAGGTCAAATTTTAAATTGACCTGTGAAGGTCATCATACTTATTTCGCATCGCCTCGGCGAGAGCAACAAAAAATGTATTGGTTTTATGTCTCTATGTTTCTTAGTTTAAAAGTTATATAGGTAACTAATTCCAAAACATTTTATCGTTGATGACCTCTGGTGACCTCAATATTGACCTGACCTGAAAATGTTTTATGTAAAAGTTGTAGATCTTTAAACGACCTATCAAACGCCGTTCGCCGTTTGTCGCTGCGATGTGTAGTTTTTGAGATATGAAGGGTGGCCGAATCGGCCCCCCCCGCCAGTTTCTTGTCCCGGCGGAGCCCGCCAGGAATAGGGTTAACACCAACCGAATTTTTGGGTCAGGTCAGGTCACTGACCTATGACGTCATAAGTGAACCTCTGCACGGTCTTCAGATGTCGCAACTTCGCAACGCCCTCACTGCCAGAGGAGATGTCACAGGGAAATGAAACTTGCAGGATCTAGTATCGATTATGAGTCTCACAACTTGTATATCTCGGATTTTTCCTAAAGGTCATATGAGGTCAGGTAATTTTCGTGACCTCACCATTATAAGTCAATGGGGAAAAATGAAAACTGCTATTCTGGCGCCGGGAACGATCTCCAACTATCTCAAGCACACAGAATCGTGATTTGATGCACTCCTTGCAAGGTTAGATACGTCACTTTTGCAATGTTGACCTTGCGTGACGTCAGTTATGACGTCATCAAGGTCATATTAGTTTTTCGTCAATAACTCCCGATCAAATTGAGCTAGCGAGTCGAGAAAGCCACCAATGGACTCAGGAAGACCTGCCGAATCGAATTATATGCAACATGACCTCTTTCGACCAACTTCGTGACCTGGGGGTGCTGACCTGACCTTGACCTGAGGTCAACACCCAAAGTTGACCTGACCCGAACAAAAAGCATGTCATTCGACGCGGCTGAGCGAAGCGAACACGATGCTGCCAAAATCGCGGCTCTGCGGCCGTTTTTTGCGAAGTTATTCACCAAAAACTGAACCGTACCTTGGGGCACTTGACCTGACCTCAGAGGTCACCGGTTGCCCTGGGACCTTAAAATCGTGTACCAATCTCTGCGTCTCGTAACGGCGCACACGCTCGTTTCTTCCGCGACGCGCTAGCTCCAAAAGGGGCGAAACGGCGAGGGGGAGTCGTACCCGCCCCCCCCCCCCCCTCGGCCGGCGCGTATGTAGAAAACCAATAGGTCCGGCGAGGGTTAACACGCGCAGTGGAAGGGTTGCGAGTACTACGCCCAGTGGAAGGGGGGGGGGGGGCGGATGTCGCCCCCCCATAAGATCTCAGCTCCCACTGGAGCTAGAAAGACGAAATTTGGAGGGTAGGTGGGGGCCATGGGGAACTATCTTGTGTGTGAATTTCATGACCCTAGGTCAATATCTTCAAGGTCAAATGAGGTCAAATGTGGTCAAATCGGCCATATTAGCAACTTTTTTCGTTTACACGCCGATAACTCAAAAAGTTACCGGCCGATTTTTAAAAATCTTTCACTAT